CGCGAGAACACTTTAAGTTCGGCAACCATATTTGATGGCTTTACCGTACTGCGAACCTTGGCATGGGATTCGCGGACCGTCTTCGAAGTAGCGAATGCGCCGGCCAACGGGTTGCGAAACTTAGAAGAGCTACGTATAACGTCCACGAGCTCATCGTTCATGGTTGTATTATCCGGGATGAAGTGCGTGCTATCTACTCCCTTTTCTTGTGTAAATGGTCGATAGGTTGCAGTCCCTCCGACGTCTTGTACTTTCCAGCGATGGCTCAGGTTCCGAGACGTTGCTGAAGGCTCATGGTCCCAAATTGACCGATCTCAACATTTCGGGGAGAACCTTTGAAACCCTGGGGGCACAGGTATTCGAACTTTGCCCAAATATTCGCTCGCTCTCCATTTTGGGGGTATGTTTCCACGTCTGGGGCAGAGTTCCCGGTGCTGACGGGATCAGTACGATGCTCCAGACGTCGAGTCTTTCGACCCACCTACAACATTTACCACCCTCGTCAAACTTATCTTCAATGTTCCAGATTACTGGGGAACTACTAAGAACTTGTATGTCTCAACCATCTCGTTCTCAATACTGATCTGCAATTTACGTCGTAGGTCCAAGGACGAAGTCGTCAAATGGGAGCGATTTTTTGTCGAGTTTGAACCCGACAACTTCCCGAGTGTACGCGAAATCACGGCTCATAGCTGTGTGTGGCCAACGAAAGAGTGGGTGCTCTGAAATATTGGAATATGTCCTGCTCATTATTCACATTCCAGGCGGGACATTGCGAAAAGCCCTTGGGTGAGGTGGGCCGAGATGATGCTTGAGCGCAACATCAACCTGCTGGACACCGCTGGGACGAAATGGCGGCCGAGATTGAAAATCAAGTAGCTGATTGTCTGCATCCCGGCTACCCACGTTTGTCGTTCGGCAACCAAATTACTGTGTTTTGCGTCCATGTCCGAAATTTTTTCTGATATATCTATAAGCCAAACCGAATGAGGCTTCCGGTGCTGAGTAGGTCCAAACCGGCGTTGCTCTGATGGCGAGGTCGAATATGAACTAGTCAATGAGGACAGCGAGATGTCCTAATTTCAGAGATACTTTGAGAAACCTCACTCAGGCAGGGATGGCGCTCGCGGTTTCGCTTTTTGTTTAGGGCACAGTAACTTGGTCCATGTACAAATCACTCGCACGATCATTTTCGATGACTTCTGTAAGGTGAGGGGAGGGGGGAGACGTTGTATTCGGCAGTATCGCATGGATAGAAAGGCATAGCCATACTGTGACCTAAAGTACAGAATGAATAGCAGTATACGTGGGCGGTCATTATGGCATGGGAGCATGGTGGTGGTACAGTGCGAGAAGACAAAATGGCAAGTGCCTCGCTCCAACGATAAAAGAATGGTCCATGAAATCACGTCTCAGAGAAGATCGAGATCGGGCGGTTCAGTGGCGCAGGAGACAGCATCGCCGACCCGATGCTCGCCCCCCGCGTACGCGCGCGGCTGCCTGCTGCTTCCACCTCGAAGTGCGGTGGACTCCGCGCGCCGCGTCGTCCCAGCGGCCGTCGCAGGACGCGGGAGCTCCCGCGCCGCGTAGATGTCGCGCGGGGTGTACGTGGGCGGTTGAGGGCTCGGGGTCAGGCTTGGTGCGGGAGGACGCGCACTGGCAGCAGAAGAGTCGCCCGCGGGCACAGGGACAGGGACCGGCACGGGGGCGCTGTACAAACTGGGCAGAATGGGGCTGAGGGGGACGAACCCGCGCGGGAGCTCATTGTCCGGGAGAACGATCACGTTCCCATCCCCGTGCTGGAGCTGCTGCACGCCCGCCACCGCGCCTGCAAGCTCCGGCACGAATTGCTGTGGCAGTGTTTCGACGCTCGCGGTCTCGGCTGTGAGTAGAATGGTGTTGACAGTACAATCCGTCGAAGGGTTTGAGGCGGGAGCAGACTATTAGTAGGGGTTAACTAGGCGTGTAGCGAGGCCACGAAGGGGAGGAGGGAGCGTACCGGAGGCTCAATCTGGATGTTGATCGGGACGGTGGAGGCGGAGACGGTGCGGTTGAAGCGCGAATTGATCCACGCGAGAGCGGAGCGTGAGCGGGTGGAGCCAGTTTCGTCGACATAGTCCTGCGACCGATGTGGAGGAGGCGCAGCCGTGAACGCTGTTGCAGGTGCAGAGTACGGGCTCGCGGGAGTCGAGTAGGGATCCCGGAGCGGGGCGGCGTTCGTGCTTGCCATGGACCGCGTGTAGACCATGCCACCATCCGTGTCCATAGCCGTGGCAAGCGGCATGGGCATGACGATTTCGCGCGGTCGGCGTGGCCCAGTCCGCCGACTGGCTTGTGAGTATGGTACCGAGGAACGGGTCAAGAACTGAGGAAAGAAACGAATGTCGGTGAGAATCCACAAACCGCCAAGTAAAGGGGAGTTGAACACACGTTTTCGCTGCTATGCGACTCTTCCGTTGTGCCCTGACGGCGTTCCGGAGGATCAGCATTCGCGACACGCCACTCACGCGCAACCTGGTCCGAGCGGGACATGGGCACTTCTGCCGCCCGCGGCGGACTGAGGATGTCGAATTGCGAGAATGTCGTTGAGATGGCAGACACGCCTGGCATGGTTCTTCGCCGTCCGCCGGTACGGTTTGTTCCTGGCGTGTATTAAAGGTCGCGTTCGCTCGTGTGGAGTTTGTCGTCCAGCTCGGGGCCCCGCCGCCAGTGCTGGAGCTGGCGCCTTCATTGATGATCGTGATGGGGTCGTACGGCGGGACTGCGGTGTCGGTGTACTTGGTGGCGCTGCCGCCCTTGAAGAGGCCGGAGAGCGAGGTGGCGTTGCCGTAGGGGGGCGTGGGTTACGGAGAGGAGGAAGTGCAGGGAGAGGAGCAGGGCGAGGACGAAGAGGACGTAGCGCAGAGGCTTGTTCATCGCCATCGTGCGGACGAGTCAAGTCCAGTGGCTGTAAAGAATAGAGGTAAAGCCAGTACAAGGAGAGGATAGCGCCCAGCCAGCAAGTAGTCGTTTAAGAGAAAGCGGTCAAATAGCCCGATCACACTCGCATGATCGGTGATCTGCTTTCGCCAACTACCACTGACCGAATGCCCGCACGACGGTTGGAACCAGCTGCGGAGAAAAACAAAAATCTGACTGGGTTTTCAACGATATTCCGACCGGCGCATAGATGACAAACATCAACTGCCACGTCAACTCTCATAACATCAGTTTCTACAGCGCTAACAGCCCCCTATCCCACATGCTGGAAAGCAAACACCGAGCCAATATGAAAAAAAAAAAATTCTCGCATCTTACAGTCTCACAACCCAGCCCCGAATCGATCGGGCCCTCCCACCGAACTCTCAGGTCTCGAAGAACATCTAAGTGTTGCGGGTGTGCACCATGCACCTCCAGGACTTCTCTCTCTCCAATTTGAACCAGGTTGAACAGTTGCATCCAATTTCTCTCCTAAAATGCAATTCTACAACTGGTACCACTCCTTTCAAGTTCAAAACATCCAATTAACTAGTTTACAAAGATGAGTCCATTCCGTTGATGTCAGCTCTCTTCCTCCCAACCATCACCCACCGTAGTTGCTTCAGTCAAAGAAGGGACGGAGCAAGAGTGAAAAAAAAAAACCACAGCGGAGGACAATAAAAAAACCTCTCGTCTTCGCTATGACCTGGCCTCGATTCGAACGAGGGCCTCTACTGAACTCTCACCACCCAACTAAATGCTGTGGGTGTGCACCATGCACCTCCAGGTCTTCTTTGCCTTTAATTCGAGCCAGGCTGAGCTGTCCCATTTTCTTGTCCCTGCAATCACAGACAGACCTTTACCCCAGTGCCACTTTATAGTCTAGTTCAACCTCTCTGGCAAATTCCTCTGTAAAAGATAGGTTCACACTGCTGCTTGTGTTGATGTCAGCCCTTCCAACCACCACCCACGACAACTGCTGGCACAAGGAACGGGAAGCAAGTTAGAAGAAACCCGAAGCGAGGGACAAGAAAAAAAATACATTTCCCAAATATGACCTGGCCTCGAATCGAACGAGGGCCTCTCAGCAAACTTTAATCACAGTCACTGGAAGTGGTGTGAGTGTGTACCATACACCTCCAGGTCTTCTCTATCTCCAATTCCAGCCATGTTGAACAGTTGGATTTAACTTCTCTTATACCTGGTGCCACTTCTTTTGTTCAAAACATCTAAATATCTGGGAATGTGAGAGATGAGTCCATTTGGTTGTCAGCCCCACCTACCACCACTGCTGTCATGGAGGATGGGAAGCAATTTGCCAGAACGAACCCGGGGCGAAACAGGAAAAAATTCGACCTTTCTTTTCAAGGCATGACCTGGCCTCGAATTGAACGAAGGCCTCCCAGTGAACTCATGAATTACCTCACCCCAAGTTGTGTGGGTGTGTACCATACACTTCCAGGTCTTGCAATCCGATGATTTGTCCGCTGTTGAGTTCGGCCCATCTGCATTTTGAGCAGTTTCAATACTGATGTTCAGCTTATAACAAATTCATCAGACCCTCCGACAACCCTTTGTAAAATGATAGGTTCAGACTGCTGCTTCGATGGATGCCAACACTTCCAACCACAGCCCACCACAGCTGCTGGTGTGAACCAAGGGAAACAAAACAAAGAATCAAAAAATAAAAGATAACTTGGCTACCCATATCATAACCTGGCCTCGAATCGAACGAGGACCTCCCACCGGATTTGGTTCGAGCGCCTTGGCAGCTGCTGTGGGTGTGTACCATGCACCTCCAGGTCTTCTCTGTCTACAATTTGAACCAGGTTGATTCAATTGCTCTCCAGCAATTCTACAACTGGCACCACTGCTTTGTTCAAATAACCAATTATTGGGTATTGTAAAGATGGTTCCATTCCATTGACAGCAGCCTTCCCAACCACCGCCCACCAGACTGTAGTTGGTCCAGGAAGGAAGAGGGGAAACTATTGAAACCAAAGCGGAGGACAATAAAAAAACACAATGCCACTACCAGACTATGACCTGGCCTCGAATCGAACGAGGGCCTCTCAGCAAACTCAAAACATTTATAGCCACCGTAAGTTGTGCGTGTGTGTACCATACACCTCCAGGTCTTCTTTGTCTATGATTTGACTCAGGCTGAGTTGGCATCACCCTGCCGCATGGGTGATCAATTCTGAACAATTTCGCAAAGCATAAGACTTGAGTTAAACAATCAACACTTCCCAGCTCCATCCACTACTGCTACTTTCAAGGAAGCAAAAAGAACCCAAAGCCACTGGTGGAGGCAAGAAAAAATCACACCTGTGCTCAATGACCTGGCCTTGAATTGAACAAGGGCCTTCCACTGAACTTTCTGTATGGACTACGTGAATAAGTGCTGTGGGTGTGCACCATGCACCTCCAGGTCTTCTTTGTCTTTAATTCCACCCAGGTTGAACTCCACAAGGCTTTGGGCTTTCTTGTGTTGACAACTCTTGCCCAGTGTCACTTGTATGGTTCAAACTCTCTGGTAACCCTCTGTGAAATTTAAATGATAGGTCTAGATTCAGACTGCTTCGATGGATGTCAGCTCTTCCAACCACTGCCCACCACAGCTGCTGGTGCGAATAAAGGGAAACAAAACAAATAAACAAAGAATGAAAAAGAAAAGATAATCTTGCCGCATACATACAACCTGGCCTCGAATCGAAAGAGGACCTCCCACCAAATTTGGTTCGAGCACCTTGGCAGCTGCTGTGGGTGCGTACCATGCACCTCCAGGTCTTCTCTATCTACAATTCGAACCAGGTTGAATGGTTGGAATTCAACAACCGGTGCCACTCCTTTGTTCAAAACATCCAATTATCTGGGATTGTGAAAGAGGAGTCCAGTCACATTCAGTTGATGCCAGTCCTTCCGACCCTGCCGTGAAAGAAGCTAGACAGCACAGAAATCTTTGAAAGCGAGAGACGAGAAAAAACCTGAAAGGTCACCATTGTATTATGACCTGACCTCAAATCGAACGAAGGCTTCCCAGCAAACTCAAAGTTGCAATCACCGTGCTAGGTTGTGTGGGTGTGTGCCATACCTCCAGGTCTTCTCTATGTATAATTGAAACTGGGTTGGACTGCGCCATTTCCAGGCTTTCTTGTGATTATCTGCACTAAGGCATACCACGAGTTCACCCGTGGGTAACTCGGATCTGTGGGAACGAGTACTCATGAAGAAAAAAACCATACTCAGATCCATGAGTATAAAACCCACGGATTGTATAAGTACTCGTGAGTATTGGAAAACCTGCAGGTACCTGTGAGTACCTGTGGGTTTTGGTTGCATTTCGGTGATTTGGTGGCTCAAACACACCTTATTTGTGCTCTAGAGTTGTATTATTGCTCTAAAATCTTGGAGGTACCACCTAATCATGCTGTACAGGCAGTAGAAATATATATTAGGTGGTGTTCTGAGTCTGAGTACTCATGAGTTTGCAAAGCTTTCAACCAAAATTGATACTCAGATCCGTGGGAAACTCACGGCCACAGGTACTCGGATTCGTGAGTATGGATACTTGCAAGTTTTCCCATGAGTATACTCATATTGACCCATGGGTAACTCGCACTTGTGGTATGCCTTAATCTGCACCTTCTATCCTGTATCGATTATCACTTGTATGGTCACACTCTCTGACAAGTTCCTTTGTAAAAGATGGGTACACACCACTGCTTGGGTTGATGTCAGTCCTTCTGAAAACCAGCTGCCACGACTCTGCTGTGAAAGAAGCGAAACGGCATAAAAAATCTTTGAAAGCAGGAGAAAAAACCTCGTAGATTATTGTACGTGGCCTAGCCCCGAATCGAACGAGGGTCTCCCAGCAAACTTTGATTACTGCGCATGCAACCATAATCTGTGTGGGTGTGAGCCATACACCTCCACAATCCTATGATGACTCCCACCGAACTCAGTGCCGGCTGATAGGCACTGCACTCAGGCCCCTGATCGGCAGAGGCTGCCGAGCTTGGCCGCCATCTGCCACGCTCGGTCTACCTTACGTGACAGGGTCTGCCGAGAAGCGTCTGCCGTGCGCTGCCGCCATCGGTCGCGGCGGGGGCGGCCAACCCCTGCCGCCCCAGCCCACTTGCTCTTCCGACCACGGCGCCGTTGTCCGTCATTCAGGTTGCCTGTCCAGCAGTAGAAAATTGCCACCGCGGTGACCTTGGAGTGCATGGGAATGTAGTTTGCTCGTTTGGGAATTGTCTCATCAATTTCTAACTGATTGATCTGCAAGGGCGTAATTGATCTTGAGGCCCGAGCTGACCCTGGCGTTGTCATAGCGGGGCTGGCTGGAATGTCGGTGGGTTTTCTCTCTCTCTTGCCCTAACGGCCTCTCATGCGACTTAGCACATGTCACATTGACACGACGTGTTCCGCAAAAAATGCTCACACAAGTGGAGCGGGCCACGTCGGCGATACCGGCCGTCTCGTGATGGTGACATCACACGGTCGGCAAAGATGCCGTGAGGTGGTTCCGTTGACGGTTTCCACTTCCGAGTGCCTTCATTGTGCGCTCGGTTATTGTGCATCAGGTAGACCTAGGGAGGCCACCCGCGGCAGACCACGTCGCCCTCGGGTCTGCCGCGCTCGGCCGCGGCGCAGCGGACACACCCTCTGTCGCCTAGGGGCCTGAATGCAGTGAGGCACGTCATTTTGGAGCCCACCGCGAGGGTTTCAATCACAGCTTCTGGAGCCTCTCGAACCCAGCGGCCGAATTCCGATACCACAGGCCGCCGTAACCTTTGCTGTGAGCTGAGCCTTCGCGAGCTTGCGAGCGCGGGCTAAGTGTGAGATAAGGAGGATTAGATTACGGGATGTACCGCATCAGTGATCTCCCATCATTTCATCCTCGTCGCGTACTTCCATACGCGCCTCGTCTTCTGCCTCTATCGCTCGCAGCCTCACTCCATCGCCTTAATTTTGAGCCCCGCCCGCCCATCCCTTTTTGGGTACTTCACGCTCGCGTTGTTTTGGGTCTCCTCGTTTCAGACCCGCTTCGCGCTGCGTACTGGTCCTGGGTCCCGCTTTCTCTTCCCGCCCGATTCGCTCTTTTCCCCCCCTTCTCCAGGCGCGTTGGAAAACACGACGAATCGGCCGCGAAGCGGCCCAGACCTCCCGCACACACCCCACCGCTCCTTTCATCATCCCGTCCTCATCCTTCCTGATCCTCCTCTCCGAGCGGTCCGCAGGACCGCCTTCTCACCCCTTCTCCCGTCCCTCACCTCGCGTCCGATAGAAATCGAAATCTCACCTTATCTCGAGTTAATCACTGCATTCCAGAACCTCACGGCCCATGAGAATTGGATGAAATACTACAGTATGCAATGCTTGGAACATGATAAATATCGCACAAGGACCATGGGACACTTTATTTTTATTTTTTGAACAACATTGGCGATGAGTTTTAACAGTACACTCTACTGGCAAGTAAATCCTTCTGTTGACGCGACGGCATGGCACGAAAACTTCCCCACCGTAGTGTTTGTAGTGAAGGTGACATTAGTGTCAAGAATCCGCAGGTCCTGGCAGGGAGCCGCGCCACTGCATTGAAGGCTCGCGACGGTTGAAGTCAGAAGGCTGCCTTGAAGCCCCGACCAAGTAATATTGCTGATCTGCATGGTCGAGGTGTCGCATTGGCCGACAGCACCTGAAAACGACGTGCACTGCGTAATCTCGGCCACCTGCGTCGTAATGTTGGTGAATGTTGAATTAGTCCAGACTAGGTGGGAACAGTCAAATGTTGAAAATGTATTTTTTTTCGGAGTGGTTCACCAATATCGCGAACAACTTCCAGGTCCGTTAGCAAATTTAATATTGGGGACTAGGGTACTAGCACGTACCCCCAATCCCTCCGCCTCCTCCATTAGGAGGGAATCCCTGCTGCACTCCGGTCCATGTCTTAATGTAACCTACAAATCGCGTCCCAATGAACGAGCAGTTGCGGGTCAACACTCGCTCGATGGCCTCGTATTCGCCTGGAAACTGCCCGGTGCTGCCGATCGCGACGCCGGTGCCGATGTAGAAGATTGAATCCTCAATCAGAATGTCAGACGAATTTCGTTTCATCGCAATCGAGTCGTCGCCGTTGTGGACCTCCCAGCGCCGGAAAGTGATGTGGTGCGAGTCGAGCGTGTCCGCGCCGTCCGTGTTGATCGTGGATTGCTGTACATCACTGAGTAACAACGACATACCCAAGTAAGTTTGAAACTCACCGAGTCGTTGCTGGTGGAACTGACAAAAATGTCGAGCATGTCGACATAACTCGAAGCCGATATTGTCATTGTCCTGAGAATATCAAGTTTTGCATTCGTGTTATTGTAGACCATGCATACCACATCTGAGACTGAACAAAACGGATTCCGGTGAAAGTCGAGTTGTGGGTATTCCATATCGTCAAAGCATGCGGACGACCCGCGAGATTCGATACACCTTTCGTAAAGTCGTACCTGGCTCCATTGAATTTAACTTCACTCCAAGCCTAAGAGAATAATACCCACCAAATTTGCCCGTTGCCATTGAAAGTACCATAACCGTGTCCATCAAATAGAATGTTATTCCCGCCCAAGAACCACGCCGAGCTTTGGTTCTGAAACCCAATGGGCAGGGAATTGTTTAACCAATACGAGATATTTGCAGCGGACCACTGACAAATACCGTTTAGCCACAAATCTTCTTTATTCTTGACTCGGTAGACTACACTCACCAGGAGGGTCCCGCGCAAATCAATCACAGCATCATTCAGCCCAGTCGTATTCATGACTTTCTGGAAAGTCGCGCTTTTGAGTAGGACCGTACCGTGTGAGAGCACTCGTACCTCGATCCAGTAGGTCTCGTTCAGAAATTCGATCTACCGAATTATTTCTCGGGTCTCCGTAAACTCGAAGGCCACGTAAAAAACGTACCCTCCCGCCTTGTCCGCACAGACTGAACGCTTGGACGATGGCCGGGGAATCATCGGTAAAGTTTCCAGACGGGTGGACAGTGCACGTCTTCTGGCGTTGAATGACATGGCCGCCGAGCGCTTGGGTGGCAAGCAGCAAAAGGGAAAGAGCGAGCATCTTCGAAGAATAGGGATGTTTTGCGC